TTAATTCTAGAAGGTGTTGTAGGCCTTCATAGAACCAGTCAGCTTCAGCCTCTTCAGCACCAGTGGTTGGGGCGTAGACTTGGACTACTGTGATGTTGAATGGTTTGCCTTGGATTTGAACTGAGATCATTCTGTCATTTTGGAGATTGTATCCCAGTACTGCTTTTCCTACTCTTTTATTGACTATGAAGGCTACTCCATTTCTTCTGAGGGATTCTTGCCCGCAGTAGTATACCTGATGGTCATCTGAATTAAATTCGCCCATTCCTGTGCATTTTAGTTCACTGATTCCTAAGATGTCGATGTTCAGTCTTGTCATCTCTTGTCTGACCACATCCATCTTGCCTTGATTCATAGATCTTACATCCCAGGTTCCTATGGAATATAGATCTTTACCGCATCGGACTCTCCTTTCACCACCAGATACATCAGCAACTGAGTGTCCTTTCGGCTTTGACCCAGTCGCTTCATTCTTTCTGGTGCTACTAGTACTAGCCCTCTGCTCTTCCCCAGTAGCATACTGGACACCTTCCGACCTGAGGGGCTCATCTTTTTGCCTTTTGGTACTGTCCATGGGGTTTTCATGGCAAAGATACTGGAGTGGGTTGCCATTTCCTTCTCCAGTGGATCACATTTTGTCAGAGCTCTCTGCTATGACCTGTCTGTCTTGGGTGACCCTGCATGGCATAGCTCATAGCTTCATTGAGCTACGCAAGCCCCTTTGCCACGACAAGGCAGTGATCCATGAAGGAGCATGTATGTATATATGTATATAATTATTAGTGTTTTACTCTAGCTTTCTCTCTCAGGCTTCATACTTCCCAATTAATTTTCTAATTACTTCAGCCTTGTTTCACACATCTTCCCTTCTAGCCAAGTCTTTTGACATCTTTATTGCTGTCTTCTGTACCCTCTCTACTTTGTTTAATATATATTCTTTTATTGCAGAGATAAAAGAATTGTGATGGGAACTTTTTACAGCGAAATCTGCAGGTAGAAGTTAGTGAAGGATTCGTTCCTCATACTTAATCTGATTGCATAATTGACCCTTTTCAGTTTTCAGAACATTTAGGCTTGATTACTGCCTGTTACATTTTTCCTTGAAGGGACATTCCACCAGAGAGTTACCCCAGTGCTAGCCAGCCAGCCTGCTTTGGGGGATGGTTATGTTACTTGTAGGATCTGACCATCTCCTTTGAGAGGCCAATGCATGTATAACATGTGGTGTTACTTAACAAGGAGACTGAGAGTGAGCTACAAGATCGGGTGAGAGCACACAATCTCTTCTCTGCAGCAGATTTCCCATCATGCACTTTAATTTGATTAAGAGCTATATTGTCACCAACACTACTTGTGGCTAACGCCAACCAGCATTGTATCTTTATATTTGAAACAAGTTGTTAAAGTGAATGCTATCTGCTGTTAGGCACATCTGGCTCATCAGACACCTCCATTAACTTACAAGAAATCCTACCTTTGGTGCAGAACTTTATTTTGTAGAAACTCTCTTGCTTTTCTTTATTTCCAGCTGCTTTACATACATACTGCTAATGCATCAAGATGATAAACAAGAAGGCAACTTCATGCTATTAGGAAGTGCTGTGTTGAATGAATATCAGTTGGGCTTATCTGGGAGCTTCAAAGTCTAGAGAAACAGTAGCTGGCCACATGCTATTTCTTTCCCATAGGGTTTTAACAAATGGAATGGGACCCCACTATTCCCTTCTGAGTGGTGGGCTGATTAAGGCAATTCTTGCTTTGTGAGCAGGGAATTTATTTCACTAGAGCTCCTGCTGAGCACTGGAAGTGTCCATTTGCAGCTTGGTTCAGAATTATGTGAGTTGAAGAACCGTATCACTTTGTAGCAATCTCAATTTTAAAAAAAATATCTTGAGGGAACAGCTTAAAAACATGTTATCCCACATTTTATCCTTTGGCTGTAGTTATCCTGGAGAGAAGAAAATGAGAACTGTAATTGGGGCATTTAGATGAAATGCCAATGGTATCTCTTGTGGGCACTGCTTCTTCCTGTAACTCTACTACTGAGCTCTGTGGTTTCCTCTTGATTGGGAGATTGCTTGCCTATGAAGAAAAGATCCAGGGAAGTCAGTTGTTTGTGAGGTGATCATAGGATATCTTCTGTTCCCGATAGATGCATTCTAAATGAGGGGTTCGAGCAAAACGCTTATGTGCTCTTTGTTTCTTATATATATTCTCTATGGTTCTTGCTGTTGGAAGCAGACTGAATGAATAAATAATTCATTCAGTGGAAGCAATGGCAGAAATTTGGGGGGTTGAAGTTCCCCTTATAATGAATGGAAGATCTATTTCTCCTGATGCCAGGGCAAAACAACAGAATATGGCTATTGCACCAAATCCTGCCTCTGAGCTTTCCAAGGAGAGCCAGCTAGCCACTGTTGGTGACACTATGGGAATCCTTGCTCTGAGCCAGCAAGGAAGTTTAAAAGTTCAGTCTAGATTTAGAATCATTTTCTTGGAAAAGTTTCCTGTAATTGTTAAGAGAAATATAAATATTTTAAAATTAGGGTTCATACTTTCAGGATAGAATTGAAGCCACACAAAATTGAGTAATCCATGCTGCCAATTTGCAGGGTGGGTGGGTTAATCCCACGTTGGCAAGTCTTGCCTAGCCACAGATAGATCGTCCTTTCCACAGAGTATTGTATGGCGCATTTCAAGCATTTGAACTAATGAGCAGGCTGTGGAATTTCTAAAAGCTGAGCCAACAAATAAAGCAAATTACAATTGTTAGTGTGAGATGTGCCCAGTAAACTCTCATCAGAGAGACTCAGGGCAGCTGGCTTAGTCCCTAGCAGTGATTACCTTGGATGGTGACATTTGCCACGGAGGCTTAATTACCTTGGAAACATGTTATAATTGTGTTTCTTCTCTAAGAAGAACACATTTGAAGCGGCTGCTTTTGCTTTGGGGGGGACAACATGCCCCCAAGTGCAATGTGGGCAAAAAACTCTTTTGAACTGAATCAGTGTGGCATTGAGGGTTTGTCCACAATCCAAAAAGCATAATTTATAGCACTGGCAAATGAAGCTGTAGAGAAATTGATAGAATGACTCAACTCAGTGAGAGCTGTGATAATAGCCTAAGAAGAGTGTGAGTGTGCACATTACCAGGGTTGCTAGCAACACCTATGCTTTAAAACTGAGAGTGACATTTTATCCTTTAAATTTGGGGATGAAGTAAGTGTGTATGAGAATATTTGCAAGATGAAATGAAATGTATCTATAATTATCACTGTTCTTGTTTCTCTGTTACACCTGCTTTACCTCTATGGGACAAAAATGAATTAGGGTACCTTCCTATGCCAGTCTAGGCAGAAAAAACGCTTACAGTTCCCAGCTGGGGCAAACATTTTACTGATCAGCTGATCTATTCAGTTAGTAACTCAAACTTTATTGAAATATTTGCACCTTCTATTTTTTCATTGTCTTTTCAAATCATTTTTGAAGTATGTCGGGCATCTCTGAAGTGTGACTGGTTGCGTCTTGTACCTCTGTCCTGCTATTGCCTGTCCCACTGTTGCTGACCAGTGGCTGATTTCTGTTTTGAATGGATGAATGTTCTTGGAAGTAAGTGTAGAGTTCATTCCTTTGCTGAACATATGCTTATTTTTTCTACTTATACAAGAATGTAGGACACTTTAATATTATGATACTCTTAATAGAGTTTCCATCCCATACCTGACTTTTAACATTGCTACATAACACAGGATAAATTCTAGACTGTTCAGGTCTCCAGATGGGTGGATGATTAGATGGAAGATGGCTAATCTCCCTGTTCCTCCAGATCTTGCCAGATTGTATTTGCCTTAAATTGGCTTTCAGTTGTTTAGAGTGAAACATTAATACCGCTATTAGATAGTAGAGTATGATGCTTTCCTTTACAGTGGTGTTTCCATAAGTACAAATGGTCTTTGCGATAAAACTCAAAGTACACCTCTAAGATTAAGCCCACAGCCTGATATTAAGCTTATCCAACTAGAAAGTTATCAGGAGTTTTTATGGCAAGTAAACTTTCTGTCTATACATTTTGTCACAAAATAGTATTATTCACTATGCCAGCCTTTTGCATCCTGATCTTTCCAACCCGAGCCTTTGCTGCTTGCTGGAAATTATGGGAATTTCTGCCCATCACACCTGGAAGGCACCAGACTGCAGCAGGCTGGACTACTGTGTCTTGCTTCAGATCAGAAAAGGATGTTCAGTCTGATCCATTCATGTAATCAGGAACAGAATTTTGGTTTGCATGCCAAATAAGTTTCAAGTAAAACAGACATGCCTACATTTGAAAGCTGTTCTCTGTTGTGAGCTGAGTGATTGTGATATTTCAGCCAGTTATACAAATTACTTGGTAGCTTTCAGAATACAGCAATTCTTTGTTAGCAATTTGCTATCCAAAGAGTTTTGACTTAGGAATTCGTTTGCTAACCTTAGTTAAACATTGATAGAAAAGAGGGATGTAGAATCCAGTGGCTAACATAGCTTTATCTCTGAGCAGAGCTCCTGAGAGGAGTCTGATGTGTCATGACCAGACCTAAGTAACTTGACACAGTAAATATTATCGAGTGTCTCACATGCCATTGTGCTGAGCTGTACCATAGCAGGTTCTGCCTTGTGCATCATCAGCACAAATGACAGCGGAGATTGGTGGTTGGTCTTTTGCGTTGGTGGTATATGAAACTGAAAGCAAGCATCTCATTTCTTAGGCTCTGGGTCTTACTTAAGTTGCTGACAAGTAGGGGAAAAACTCAGTGACAATTGACCTGAGTGGCAGATGACTCAAAATAAAATAAATCTGAGTCAAGGTAAATTTAGGACAACAAGACTTCAATCCCTCTGGTTGCTTATCTGTTGGAAACAGGATTCTAATCAATAAAATGCTTTCCTCTTTAGGTTTTGGGAAGGTATCTGCTCATGAAAATGCAGCTGTATTCAAAAAACCCTTTTTCATTCTTTTCTTAGCTCTGATTAATCTGTTGAAGTTCCTCATGTCCAACGAAACTGTTTTGCTGGCAAAACATAACATCTTTACCTTGGCTCTCATGGTAAGTGTCATACCTTTGTGTGCACAGCAGACTCTGGGAAACAACACTGAATTCAATAAATAGCAACATTGTAGGGCATGCTATAAACAGAATTAAACACACTGCATATTGCAGGTGTGTGAAGGAGACCTGTTTCCTATCATAGTTTCAGCTTGTTTCCATGAAGCAAAGGTTAGGATCAGTATATGTTGGCTCGAGGTTGTAGTGGGTACATGGACTGTTTCTGCCTTTGGATCCCATTTACCTTTATTTATTTATTTATTTATTTAATTGTTGCAGAGCATTTTTCAAGCTGCTCAGTGGAAATACAGATGAGGAAAATATTCCCGTTCATGTGTATTACATTATATGCTATACTTGATAAACAGATCTGTGACTACTGTGACTTGATAAACAGATCTGTATAAGGAATGTAAGCTAAAGAAAAGGAACTAGCTACAATGGATCTCTAACACCTGACTGTTAAGAGATGAGGATAAAAGGCAGCACTTTTTAAAGGGCCTAATGGGATTAATCCTGTTCAAAGCTTTTGCCTGTCTGGCACAGGAACCTTGTAGTGTTATTGAGGCCGTGTTGTATAGTACTAGAAGGCTCAAGCTTGGGCCTGGAACTGACTAATTCTTTCTTTTTCCCATGCCCTTCACTCCCCCCCCCCCCCACTTTTCATGTGATATTTCAACACTCTGTATATTCAGAAAGTTCACAGGCACTTTTCAGGAGCACTTTGGTATCCTTAACATATGCTATTTTCATTTGTAAACTTATATATTTTGCCTGTGTTTGTAGAATAGCTACCCTATTTTAGAATGCCCCCCTTTTGCTTCCAAACTGATAGGAACTCATGCAACCAAGTCAGGATGGGCTGGTTGTTGGCCAAACAACACATGGTTAGTCAACAGATGATTGGGTACACCATGGGGTTTTGGCCCACTCCTTCCCCTTTGGTCCCTCTATGGGTATCACAGGGAAAATTGCAGCAGGATTTATTTGTCTTCCCACTACTTGCCTTGAATGCAGTTTCTTCTTTTTCTGGGGAAAATAAGTTTTGATAGCCATGTGTCCTGGTTGAAAAGTTCCCATTTTCCTATTAAATTTGTTGGGTAGCTGGCGCTGGCAGGTTCCCGGGCAAGCTTGGCAAAGCAGTGAGGATTTTTTTTTTCCCCATGTTTGCCAAGTGAGTTGCTAGCTGAGCTACAGTAACCCCACTGCTTTTGCATGACATGACAACCCATCATGGGTACAACAACCATTAGGACAAGTTAGGGATTGTCAGGTGGCATGTTGCTCTGTGGACACAATGTGGGGATAGCATGGCTATCAGCCATAGTAGGTTGTCTTGTCATGTGAACCTAGCCAGTGATAGTTGCTTTAAGAGTTTTGGATGGTTAACAGGAGCGTATACTTTCTGAATGCTACAAAACTGAGTTTGTATGGGGGTAATACAGCTGTGTTAATTGTGGTCAAACACTTTTATTTCCAAAAATGAAGTGATTACTTCATTATTTGTAATACATAGATACTTTGATTTCTTCTATATATCTTGCTCTGCTTTGATTACTATAGTCTTTTGTTTTTATAGGTGGTCAACCTGTTTAATATGTTCATCACTTATGGAGATACCTTCCTTCCAACTCCTAGCAGCTATGATGAGCTATACTATGAAATCATCAGGATGAACCAGAGTTTTGATAACCTTTATTCTATGGGTAAGTACTGTTGGCTGTCATGTGGTAAAGCACACTTGTATATGAGAGAAGCTGTGTAGGCGAGAGAGAATGATTGTGCATGGCTGCCAATCAGTATGTGTGCTCACAGCATGGTTGTCAAATAACACATGGATATGAAATAACCCTGTTTGGAAGGATAATAGTTCCTTGTCCTGAGTGAGAAACATTTTAAAAGTGGTTCTTCTTCAACAGTAAGCTTATATTTTAAAAATGCTCTTAGGGTACAGAATGATCACCTGGTTCACCAGTGTGTACTATGTACATGAAAATATGCTTGTTGCTCTTGCCAGGCATGTAATATTTAAATGGTAGCAAAAACGCATTGTGCCCTCATTTGGAGTGAGCTAGCCTGCTGTGTGCAGAGTGCTCTCAGCTGGGAAAATCTGTCTTAGTCTCAGGTCAGAGAGCAAGTACAGCCCCTAGTTCCAATCAACAGCAGGAACCAGTTCTGTTAAGAAAAGGTGGAAAAGTATTTTATAGATGCACAACAAAAATACTGCTTCACAGAACAGGTAGCACACAGGACTGTAAACGTTCGCAGAACCAGGTCAGTGCCTTAGATGCAATCAGGAAATAGCTGCTGCAAAACTTTTTGAATAGTAGGGCAGACAGAAAAATGCCTAGACCTGCAAATATTTTTGTTTGGGGAGTGGGAATGTAGAGAAATGCTGTGGAACAAAGTTGAGCAGACCTCTTAAAGTCTGAGAGCATATGCTGATGTTGGGCATGGCCAAAGCCAATATTGTGGACACTCCCTCTTTCCCCCTCTTTCTCCCCTTTATAATGTTTTCATGCTTTCTCTCATGCTACAAGTACAAACAAGGATCCGGATTTTTCCTTTCTTTCTAGTTTATCTCCCCCCTGGTAGTTACCGCCCCCTGGTAACACTTGAAGAGCAACAATTCTGGTTGGGAAGGAAATGATGGCTGAGGTTCAGCTTCAGTCATACTCCCAGCAAACCCATCAATGTTCTCTTTGTCCTACTTTACACCCTATTCCTTCCCAGCGATGTGCCATCCCCACCATGATGTTTCTCTTTTGTTCACTGAAAGAAGGCTCACCTCTGGGTGATTTTCGTATAGCTAAATTCATGGTTCTCTCTCAGTGTAATCCGACACATGCATGAGCTAAACTACAGGGCACCTAGAACAGCATGGCCAAGGAAGCCACACTGCTGTGGTCTGCACACCCTGTGTTTGGGCCTGCCTACCTTTCTTTTCTAATTCTCAGTGCAACAACAGTACCTTGATCAAGACAGGGTGATATGCAATTGCTGCCTCTCATTGCTGGAAGGTATATAAGATTAGGGGTGTGTGTGTGTCAGGGGCTGTATAGAGTGACCTAGTTTGCATGATACATGGATGGTTTGTCCTGACACCAAGCTAGGTGAGGGTGGGTAGCTGAGGTAGTTAACGAACAGGTAATTAGGTAAATTAGGGAGCCTGCACAGGGGTTATTAAGAAACCACCATGAGTTATTAACCATCCTTGTGTTTTATAAACCCAGTCAGTGAACCCAAAGGACACATGTGAGCTATGGGCCATGGGTTACTCAATTTTGTGTAGAGTAAAAACTTAAAACAGCGAACAAAAGAGGGGAGGAAATAACAGTGTGAAGGCATAATCATGGAGTATATGAATGATCCTGTCTCTGAGACACATTTTAGTAGGGCTGCTGTGATAGCTATATATAAGGGGGCAGCTTTTCATGTTTCTTATTGCTTTCCTCTCCTATTCTAAATAAGCAACAGCCATTGTGAGAAATTAAAATTGAGCAAGCATATAAAAATGTAGCAAGGTCATCAAGAAATGGAGATATCACCATACATAGCTGTAACGTTAATGCCTGGAGCTCTTACAATAAAGGTTAAAAAATCAGTAAATGAAATGCTGAGTGCACATGTTTATTCAAAGGTTAACAATAGAAGAAAAAAGTTAGTTTCCTATGTTTCTGCTGTATGCTGCATGTTTTCAATTAGCGGGTTTTTTTAGCGGCAGTTGTCTTTGCAGTTTAAGTTACACAGTAGCAACACAATATTCCAGGAAAGCTTCTTAGATTGTGGTGTTTTCAACATCCAACTTTTATTTCCAGGCTTTCAATGACAGGAAATAATATGTAAGAATTATTATTAAGAAGGTGGAGTAATGGTTTACATTTGCATTAGCCTGCACTTCTGGCTACAAAATAAAAATCAATGCAATGCCTTTATTTACATGGTGCATTTGGAGAGAAGGCATTACATTTGGAGAGAAGTGATAATGGTACATTGTCTAGCACTATTTCTGTTTTTCTAAGAATTTGCTTGGTGTATTATTGGCTTGGAAACTGAGGTGCTGTTATTAAATAGATACTACATATAGCCTCCTTTTGCTTTCTCTTCCTTCAGTTTTGAGGTTGTCTACTAATGCTGGACAGTGGAAGGAGCCAGCCAGCAAAGTCACCCATGCATTGGTCAACATACGGTAAGAAAGTGAAAGGAGTTAACTGAAACTAGAACTTATTTTCTTTATAATATGTTGTGGACATGCTTGCTACTCATTTGTGCTCCTGTTCTCAGGATTTTGTTATAGGGTTTTTCAGCTGATCTGGGATCATGTCCAAAAGCAGAAGAGTCTGTTGCTATTCCTGTAATGGATCATAAACAGATTTGTAAAGTTTTTTAAAGTGCTACCTGGAACTTCATTGGGTTTCTTGCTACAAATTAACATGGCTACTCTTCTGAGCATTTTTACCCTGATCCAGCACTGCCAAGCTGGATGTAAGTGTTCCCATTTTGGCAATGATTGCTTTGGTGTCGTGAAACACAACATACCATGTGGCCTTTCATATAGTCATGGTATCTGGACTAAGTTTAGTGGCCATGGATAAAGTATAAATATCTGAATGCATATTCTGTAATACAGATTCTTCTTTTCATAGAAACTGTGTTTTCAAAGCTGTGCAAAGTGCCTGTGTACTTAATCCTCATAGTATCTCCAAGATTTGAAGCATGGTTCTGCTGGCTGGGAGGCTAATGCCTGGGAGAGGGAGGGGCTTTCCTGCATTTTTAGTGTTGTGTCATCTCCTGATACTCACAGGGCGGGGGGCTGGAGGCAACAAGCAGCTGACTTGTGGCATTCTGTGACAGTTTCTGGTTATAGCCTGGCAGTTTGTTCCTACGATAACACTCTAGATTGGAATAAAAATCAATATTTAAAAGCAGATTATGATCTGAAGAATATTTCCTCCTCAAGGGGCAAACAACTAATTGCTGTAGTATGAAAAAATGTGTGAAACTGACTCTCATGCCTTTTCTTTAAGCAGTAGCTATTACTGGAAACTAGCTGGGAAATTGATGTGGGAAGTTAATTCTAAATGTAAGAGGGATTGTAGTACTAGAATTAGAAGTGTAAAATAGAAATGCATGGGATTCACTGGTAAGTAGAGCTAGTAGTTGTGTCAGGAAAACAGACAGAATCAGGCACACCAGCCATGCTTCTGCCATGTCATAGAGCATGGGTCCTCAAATCCGGCCCGTCATGCCCATTAGGACCCGCTGTGTGCATGTGCGCCCACCCTCATCTCGCTTCCCCTTGCACGTGCCCACACACGCCTCACCTCGCCGTGTCCCCCGCCTCAGTGCGCACTCACCACACCTTTCCAGGCCGCGCCCAGCACTAGCAGCTTGCAACTGGCCCCCAGGTGGAAAAGTTTGAGGACCCCTGTCATAGAGTGTACCCTTGTTATGCTGTTTCTAGCTTTGTTGCTTATGAAGAGACAGTGTGTGGAAGACAAATTCCCTTTAGGCATTTTTCAAGTAACTTGCTGTGTCTGTAAACCACCATTAAAGATACTCTCTGCAGGCCTCTAAGTTTCATGTCCTTATATATAGGCTCTGCAAGATTTATTTTGCTGCTCTCTTTTATTTTTTTATGAGCAGAGGTAAGTGAAGGACTTGGGGACTGATGATGTTATAAAAGTAGCAGCCTAACAGTCAGTCATAGGTGGGCAGATGGTAGCTAAAGGTAGCTATCTTTGTAAATCTTTTGGAAACAATCTGCATGGAAAATCTCTGGAACAGGGAGTAGAAGGATGTGTGCAGATTGAAGGACTATGGTTGGAAAACAGTCTGGTTGGTTTTTCTTTGTGGAAATTATGATTATTTACTGTAATTGATCATCTTTGTCAGTGGGGAAGCAATCATCAGACATATACTAGCTTATTTTTTGGCAGTAGTATCAGTAGCAGAGGATAGTTCTGCTAGGAAAATAATCCTGATAACTCTTCCAATATTAGCCAGTCTTCCCAAATGGTTTCTAAACCAGTTCTTCCATCGTACATCTGCAAACCTAAATGAAAAACTATATTGACATCAATGGGAAATTCTTGCACGTAATTTGTCTGTGTAGCAGCCATTGGTTAGTTGCATGCATCTTTGAGGTGGTAACTGAGGAGCTATGATAAACCAGATACTACTCCTGGGCTCTAACTTTCTTCTACAGCTGTTTTGAAGAAGGCAACTGCACTTAAAGGCAACTGTATTTTATAGTGTGAGAGGATGTATGGGTGATTTGGATTTGTGGTAGCGATGCAGCTCTGTTGTTCTGTTATCCAGACACTGCAGATTAAAGTTAAAAGCAACATGGCACTGCAATAGTTTTCCTTTTCAAGAGAGCTGATGGCTTTCAGGACTATGTAAATATTTTTCCCATCCATAATTTCTCTGGATCCCTTTACCAAATAAGGTCACATTCTCTGCTTGTTTGAGCATGCTGGAGACTACTGATTCCAGATTGGTTGTGCAGGCAGATATATAGTTTCCTTTTCCTTGATTGGTTCAGTTTATTTTATATGGATGATGCATTTTTGTCCATTTAACATACTATATTTTTAACTTACAATTTCAATGTATTACAAGTACATTCATCTCCATTTTAAAATCCTGTTTTATCTACAGGTTATACTGTTGGGGGCCAAGGCACAAAATTATATACGATAGAGAAAAAGTGAAGAGGGAGACATTTTCCTTTCTATCATATAGTACTTGAATATGGTGTCATCCCATGAGGCTAATCAGTGGGAGATTCAGGACATATAAAAGGAAGCACTTCTTTGCAAACTGCATGATTAAACTATGGAATTCGTTTTTATAAGATGTAGTGATGGTCACCACTTTGGAGGAATTTAATTGGGAATAGGACTAATTGATGGAGGAGGTGGCTATCAAGAGTTACTAGCCCTGATGTCTATGAGTATATGCTTTCTTCTGTGCCTGTGTATACCAGTTGCTGGGGGATTCAAGCAGTGCTTTTGCACTCATGTCCTGCTTGTGAGTATCTAATGTGCAGCTGGGTTGAGCCCTGTGTGGACTGAATGCTGGACAAGATGGGCCCTTGCTCTGATTTAGGATAGCTTTTTTATGTTGTGTTCTCATTTAGTTACAGGATACTTTCAATTTTTTGTAGTACATAATTTGAAACATTCTACAGTTCTTAAAAAGGGTAATCCTCCCAGAATGCTTTTCAAATCATTTTATTCTATATAATTGAAGAACAACAGGAGTCTTCAGTGATATATAATGGATTATCTACATATCATTCAAGTTCAGACCTGTGGGTAAAATCAGAAAAGATAACTGAAATCTTGGTTTCTGTTGTTTGTTCTGCGGTTATCTCTTCTTCATAGTGACCTTTTCCTAATTGACAATTTGTTTGCTGGGATTTTTTTTGTAGTCTTGTATTGTGGTTAATATTAATAGAGATGCACTAAATAACGTATTTTTTGTCTATAAGACACCCCCATGTATAGGATGCCCCCCACTTTTCCTACCCATCTCCAGCAAGCAAGCTGCTGCCGCATGTGTGTGCCACCCCCTGCCCAAGCTCGCCGCCCCCCCGTGTGCCAGTCCCCCCCAGCACGCCCGCGTTTCCCCCGTGTATAAGATGCACCTTCATTTTTAAGTAAATGTTTTAAAGAAAAAGTAGCATCTTATACATGGAAAAATACAGTACTTCAAAACTTTTGAGGGGAAAAAACCTGTCCTCCATACCTTCCACTTTTTTCCTGCTGTTATTTTGCGCCTGTTGGAACCATTGCACATGGTTGGAACATGTCTTTGCTTTGGTGTTATTAAAAATAACTTTTTAAAGCTTGTGAAGGCTACTTTCTCTTTCACTGTGTTATAGTGGTCATGCAGTGAACTTGATTCTATCACAGAGCTTTGTAATTAATCTTATTTGGCTGTGCAGTGATGTCAGGGAAGGAAAGCAAAGCTAAATGGTACAGTCCAGCTGTAGATCAGAGTGTCCATTTGACTGTGCAGATGAATATTCATAAAAATGTTTGACAATGCATCCTAACATACAAGCAATCCAATGCAACTCTAGGTGGACACTGGGCTGCAGTGGAGTGAGGGAGCATTCCCTTCCTCCTACTAAACATACACACTGCTCTATCACTGGTTTCGCACATTTTTGTGTGCCTACCCCCATTGTTGAAAATGAGAGACATTTTTCAAGGGGTATGAAATAAATAAAACTCATATTCTCCCACTTCCTCTTCTGCTTAACTCTAATACATAGCATGTAGTGTATTTTTGCCTGATTAAAGGCCTTGAAGAAAATTGGTTTACCAAGCTTTGCCAATGAAGGCTTTGCCTTAGTAAAATATACCTTTAACCTCTGCATAACAATTAATTGATCAGGCCATTCTTAGCATTAGTGTTCCCTGTATAGCACAATTTGGGAACCAGTTGGAATAAGCTATGTCTACTGCTCAGATGTGATTCATAAGAACTTTCCCCAAAATTTTTGGCTCATCATGCGGTCCTGATTTGGCTGGTGTTCAGCTCAACATAAGCACTGGAAAAGAAAAATTTCTGTATAAGGACAATCCAAATTCTGTAGCAGGAAAAACTGAATTTTGCATCCTTTATAAAATAAGCAGCACACACACTGGCTGCTTTTCTGTCACTTAGTCTTCTTGCCATATGGAGATAGTAGGAGCCCAGCAGTCTTGCTTGTTGATTGCTAGTAATCTTATTAAACTCCTACCTACCACGTATTGCCATTTCTAGGATTTCATCAGGCATTGCTCCAGTAATTTAAGCCTGTACTTGCAAATACCAAATCTATATCCATCATTCTCAGGATGTTGAGTTCTCTACCCCAAACTCAGTTCTGTATTTGAATAGCACAATTGTGGAAATAGGAACTCCTGATAGAATGGCAAATGTTCCTGACTCCAAACGGAGAGACAGAATATGCCATCCCGTCAGGGAGTCAGCATGTGCCTTGTGGTGGTTTCCCATATAAAACATCCGGCCTCATTGGTTCAGATCTCCAGCTTTACAATTTACGTTCCTATCTTTAAGGAAATAAGCAACTTTCAAGGCAAGCAGTTTTTCCAAGCTAATGAGCCTCTTTACATTAATGTCTTTCAGGTTTGCATTTAATGAGACTTTTATTAATAGGGGGTTTGAAGG